ACTTTTCCTAAGTTTCAGTCCTTTCCGACAATTCGGGCCGGGTAACCCTAATCAGGTTATAATCGGCGTACCCGAAGGACGGAGTACAATTAATTTACGGGGGGGAACCTGACCTGGTCACGTTACGGGTTTCACAATATCTTTGCTAGTTGCTAATTTATTACGAAATACAATGTCCGTTTTGAAAATGCTTGAAATATCTGTAGAAAGTTTTCAGAATTGCTTATTTGGTGTAGCGGCGCAATAGAATTACATTATCATGTACTTAGAAATTTATTTTATGTAACAATTCAAAGATAATGAAATCGCAAATGAGTGATTGCAAATGAAAACCAGGACATCTAAAATTTAAATTTCTTGCGTAATGGAGATTAAAAGAACGTTGTAACTGATAATTCGAATGCTACTGAATTCCAAAGAATTCTAAATTTAATTTCCAGGCTTATATAAACAGATCGTATGCGATTTCTGTAATGTTTTTAAGAGTTAGACACTCGTAAAAATAATAAAACTTGCATTTAAAGAAAATATAACACTGTATTCTCGCTTTAAAAAAAAGTCTATTACAAAACATATTTATATCCAAAATAATAAAAGAACAAAAGTTTATAAAAATAAAAAATAAAATAAAAAATTATTTATTGTTTATTTCATCCTTATATAAAAAAAATTCAAGTTAACTTATTTTTTTTCACTCCTTTCATTCAATCATTTATGAATAGAACCAATATCTTTCTTTTTATACCCAGGAGATTTGAAAAATTGTAAATTTTTGGGCAACGGCACCCAGAATAATGGTAGCTTGTGTCTCATTAGCAGCATTAATAGCCAATCCCATATCTTTTGTCATTAAAGTATTAACAAAACCATCTTCGTAATCTCTACTTGGGCATGGATTATATGTATCACTTGACCAACATCTACCTGAACTTGTATTTAATATACCTGCCAACAACTTAGGATCAATTCCTAATTTTATGCCAAATTCATTGTCTCTGATATACCGATAATAGAAATTGCATATTATTACAAATCTTAGCAATCATGGCCTGTACCAAGACCTCCACAATATACAATATTCTTGCCCATACATGTTAAATATGGTTTAGATCTCTTAAAGTCCGCTTCTATTGATGTTCCAATTAGGGATGGGAATCGATTCTAAAAACTTCAATCGATGATTGAATCGGTTATAATCGATTTATAATCGATAATCGAATCCTATATATATATAAATATCTCTTACTATTAACAGATAGTTTCTAAATATTAGACGAAAATTCTGCAATACGATTAAGCAGATTTAACTCGATCGTATACGGTTCGTAGCATGTTAATTCCTTTAAATTTGAAAAGTAAAATACTGTACCGGGAAAATGCCAATTTTTGAATATATAGGTGATATCGGCTCTGTAATTTGGTTTAAACGGTTAAGGACAAATTCTATTTCTGAACGTTTTTCAGGTTTATCATCCCAGCATTGCATATATGTTCAGCATATTCTGGTGGAGTGCCTTCCACAGGTTCTTCTCTGTTTCCGATAAATATATGTATCGCAATAGCCTCAATAGATGTAAATGATTGAAAATACAATCTACAACTCGAAATCTCCCATAGAATTACCCCAAAGCTATATATGTCGGATTTTTTATCATATTTATATGAAGAATCTTTAAAGTATTGTGGCTCTATGTATGCGGGCATTCCTCTTATAAATATTTTATCCGAAATTTTTGGGTCATCATTAATATATTGATGTGTTCCAGGCGCACCTAGTTGACTCGAATGTGAATATTGTTGCTGTTCATGTTCATGGTGATCAATGTTGCCAATATTCTTCCCCTGATTAATTTGTCCTTGATGGTTTATTTGACTGTGAGGACTCTGTGGTATTGCATGGTTGCCTTGAAGGTCATGACCGACCACATCTGGAGGTTCAAGCTTTGTATTGAATAAATTTGATCCGAATTAACAATGCAAAAATTTGTATTTAGAGCTATAAATTATAAATAAAATTATAATCATAAATAATATTTTATAGTAATTCTAAATAATACATTAGTATTTAGAGCGGTGGAATATACCTTCAGGTTTTGATTTGTAATTATTATTTTTTTGTTCTACATTAATCTCATCATGTTCGCTGCCTTGAATTGAATTAATCTCATCAGGTTCGCTGCTTTGTATTAAATTAAATTAATCTCATCAAATTCACTGCTTAGTGTTGAATTAATATCATCAGGCTCACTACTTTGTATTGGATTAATTTGACCTAAATCTGCCATAATAAATTTTATATCTAATTAACTGCAGTAAAAGAAATCAAGTCCTCCGAAGAATTAATAAGAAATGCTTTTGTTTACCCTTATTAATGTTATTTATAATAAACTCTACAGTAGTTTCTTCGGATAATTTATCAAGTTCAACTAAAATTTTATTTGAAAATGGACGTTGATCTGGTTCAGTAGACCAATATTACTTGTATAAACCTGCATAATTTAAAGGTGTTCCATCAATGATTTTCTCCCTTTTACCACTTGCAATTGCTATAGGTATTGTTTCTCTGCGATGTTTACTAAACGGTGGAATTCCACTTGTAAGCTCCCAAAATATTACACCCAGACTATAAATATCAGACTTTTTATTAAGCTTTATTGCCTTTTTTCCACGTTGAATATAACATTGTGGTTCAAGGTATGCTAGCATGCCATTCGCAACAGTAATTGAAGTAATACCAGAGGTAGCGTCTAAAATTTTTGATATTCCAAAATCAGTGATCAACGCCGTGCCGTTATTTATTAAAATATTCATAGAATGCTAATTAAAAATTCAAGAACTTGTTAGTTTAAATTTAGGATGGAAATTAGAGTATTTAAAAGAAATAGATCTTACTAAATCTTGGTGAATAATTTTTTTATAATGTAGATGGTTTAATCCAAGAGTAATTTCCTTTGCAATTCGGATGAGATCAACCCATAAAATTTTATAAAGATCGTCTTTTTGTTTACTCTTTAAATATTGTTGTAGGTTACCATTAGTGGCATACTGTAATACTAATATAAAATTACCCGTTTTATCTTCATAAATTTTGTTTGGGATGTAAAATTTACTTTAGCATCCTCCGATAGATGTCAAAAATTTCACCAATTCCAATTATGAAATTCTTACCTCTAGAGATTCCATGAAATTTTACGATATTAGAATGATCAACCTTATAAAGGCATTTAAGCTATAATTATTAATATTGTAAGATTGAATTCTTTAATATTTAACAAAATTAAGTATTTTTCTGAATATTTAGCAATGAATTATCATAAAAGATAAGTACATTACCTCACGTTTAAAATTTTTAAACTTATTTTCATTGAAACTCAAGTTATTGTTCAAACATTTTAATGCATATATTTGTCCCTGAAAAGTGGCCGAATATACAACTGCATAACCTCCTTTGCCAATGCGTTTAAGGTCACTACATTGCGAATATTCAAATTTTTTTATATTGTGTTCTTTTAAATAGGTCTCTAATTGTTCCGAATATTCAGACACTTAGTTACATTAAAAATTTAACTTGTTAATATTTCATAAGGATATCATTACGGAATTAAATAAGCTTGGTTTGATGCTCACATATTTTCACTGACATTATACCTTCAGGTTTTGATTCGTAATTATCATTTTTTTGTTCTACATTAATCTCATCAGGTTCGCTGCTTTGCCTATTAATGTTATTTATAATAAACTCTACAGTAGTTTCTTCGGATAATTTATCAAGTTCAACTAAAATTTCATCTGAAAATGGACGTTGATCTGGTTCAGTAGACCAGCATTTCTTGTATAAACCTGCATAATTTAAAGGTGTTCCATCAATGATTTTCTCCCTTTCACCCTTTGCAATTGCTATAATTATTGTTAACATATTGCTATGTTTACTAAACGGTGGAATTCCACTTGTAAGCTCCCAAAATATTACACCCAGACTATAAATATCAGACTTTTTATTAAGCTTTATTGCCTTTTCTCCACGTTGAATATAACATTGTGGCTCAAGATATGCTGGCATGCCCTTTGCATTAGTACTTGAAGTAATACCAGAAGTCTCATCTAAAATTTTTGATATTCCGAAGTCAGTGATCAGTGCCCTACTGTCATTTATTAAAATATTCATAGAATGCTAATTAAAAATACAACTTGTTAGTTTAAATTTAGGATGGAAATTAGAGTATTTAAAAGAAATAGATCTTACTAAATCTCGGTGAATAATTTTTTTATTATGTAGATAGTTTAATCCAAGAGTAATTTCCTTTGCAATTCGGATTAGATCAACCCATAAAATTTTATAAAGATCATCTTTTTGTTTACGCTTTAAATATTCTCGTAGGTTACCATCAGTGGCATACTGTAATACTAATATAAAATTACCCATTATATCTTCATAAATTTTGTTTGGAATGTAAAATTTACTTTAGCATCCTCTGATAGATGTCAAAAATTTCACTAAATTCCAATTATGAAATTCTTACCTCTAGAGATTCCATGAAATTTTACGATATTAAAATGATCAACCTTATAAAGACATTTAAGCTATAATTATAAATATTGTAAGATTGAATTCTTTAATATATAACAAAATTAAGTATTGTTCTGAATATTTAGCAATGAATTATCATAAAAGATAAGTACATTACCTCACGTTTAAAAATTTTAAAATAATTTTCATCGAAACTCAAGTTATAATTGTTCAAACTTTTTAATGCATATATTTGTCCCTGAAAAGTGGCCGAATATACAACTGCATAACCTCCTTTGCCAATGCGTTTAAGGTCACTACATTGCGAATATTCAAATTTTTTTATATTGTGTTCTTTTAAATAGGTCTCTAATTGTTCCGAATATTCTTAGTTACATAAAACATTTAATTTGTTAATATTTCATAAGGATATCATTACGGAATTAAATAAGCTTGATTTGATGCTCGCATTATAAAGGACTAATAATAACTTAATTATATATGAAATAAAAATTGTTTAAACATATACCTTCAGGTTTTGATTTGTAATTATTATTTTTTTGTTCTACATTAATCTCATCAGGTTCGCTGCCTTGTATTGAATTAATCTCATCAGGTTCGCTATCTTGTATTGAATTAAACTCATCAGGTTCGCTGCCTTGTATTGAATTAATCTCATCAGGTTCGCTGCTTTGCCTATTAATGTTATTTATAATAAACTCTACAGTAGTTTCTTCGGATAATTTATCAAGTTCAACTAAAATTTCATCTGAAAATGGACGTTGATCTGGTTCAGTAGACCAGCATTTCTTGTATAAACCTGCATAATTTAAAGGTGTTCCATCAATGATTTTCTCCCTTTCACCCTTTGCAATTGCTATAATTATTGTTAACATATTGCTATGTTTACTAAACGGTGGAATTCCACTTGTAAGCTCCCAAAATATTACACCCAGACTATAAATATCAGACTTTTTATTAAGCTTTATTGCCTTTTCTCCATGTTGAATATAACATTGTGGCTCATTATATGCTAGAATGCCCTTTGCATCAGTACTTGTAGTACCAGAAGTCTCATCTAAAATTTTTGATATTCCGAAGTCAGTGATCAGTGCGCTACCGTCATTTATTAAAATATTCATGGGATTCTAATTAAAAATACAAGAACTTGTTAGTTTAAATTTAGGATGGGAATTAGAGTATTTAAAAGAAATAGATCTTACTAAATCTTGGTGAATAATATTTTTATTATGTAGATGGTTTAATCCAAGAGTAATTTCCTTTGCAATTTGGATGAGATCAACCCATAAAATTTTATAAAGATTATCTTTTTGTTTACTCTTTAAATATTCTCGTAGGTTACCATCAGTGGCATACTGTAATATTAATATAAAATTGCCCGCATTATCATCTAAAATTTTGGATAAGATTAAAATTCAGCATATTTAGATTTCTAAGAAAATTCATCCTCCGATAGATGTACTAAATTCTAATTATGAAATTCTTACCTATAGAGATTCCATGAAATTTTACGATATTAGAATGATCAACCTTATAAAGGCATTTAAGCTATAATTATAAATATTGTAAGATTGAATTCTTTAAAATTTAACAAAATTAAGTATTGTTCTGATTATTTAGCAATGAATTATCATAACAGATAAGTACATTACCTCACGTTTAAAATTTTTAAACTCATTTTCATTGAAACTCAAGTTATTGTTAAAAATTTTTAATGCATATATTTGTCCCTGAAAAGTGGCCGAATATACATCTGCATAACCTCCTCTGCCAATGTATTTACGGTCACTAAATTGCGAATATTCGAATATTTTTATATTCTGTTCTTTTAAATAGGTCTCTAATTGTTCTTAATTTGTTAATATTTCACAAGGATATTATTACGGAATTAAATAAGCTTGATTTGATGCTCACATTATAATAACTTATATACGAAATAAAAATTATTTAAACATATACCTTCAGGTTTTGATTCATAACTATTATTTTTTTGCTCTACATTAATCTCATCAGGTTTGCTGCCTTGTATTGAATTAATCTCATCAGGTTCGTCTAGCTTGTAATAAGATTGTCCTTGAGTCAATAGTGCAATTGTATTCTTTGGATCAATTTTTAATGAATTTGTTGAATCTCTAAGGGATTCTTTAAATTCTTTTCTTTTATAATAAATTAGTCCTCTATATCCTGGTTCGTATTCTGAAATAGTTGATTCCTGTTGCATCGTATATATAACATACCAGATTAAGCTACTACATGTATATTGTATAGATTCTAGAGACTTGTCTTCAAGTGATGACTTGATTTCCTCAAATGAATGATTGATAACCTCTAATTTAATTTTTGTATTCGTGCTAAATTTGTATCATTTTTTATCAATAAAAATATGTTATATCTAAATAATAAATATACCGTAAAAATTTAATACTCTACCATGATTTTAATGTTACTTGAAACTTAGGGTTAAAGTTTGACAAAAGAGATTTAAAGGAAGTAACAATGACGCAATCTGGTGATAATGATAGCAAGCCCATTGTGTCCATTTCCTTCTTTACATTAATTTCATAAATTTTTTTATATAAAAATTCAATTTTAACGATACCAGTTAAAACCCTCATATTTCTGGTCTTTTGGCTAAAGTATTTAACAGATAATGGTTTTCCAATCAATATCCAATATATCGCTAAATCACTAAAGAAAGTATGTTAATTTAATAAGTAACAAATTGCAATATTACGATAAAAACCTATATGTACCCGTGAATTGTTTCTTCTGTTGTGTCTTTATTATCAATATCTTCAATAATAGCTGAAAACCCTGAAACTGTCAACATTTGAAACCTTACGTTTAAATCTGATCTTATTGAATTATTTGAAATTACTAAACCAATAACTTGATAATTATCACTTTTTAGCTGAAAGCCAAAATTTTCATTGTAATATCTAATTTTATTATTTTTAAGTTTAGAAACACCTTCCATCAAAATTCGTTCTTCATTACTTAATAAAATTTCTATTTCTTTTTGAAGATTATCATTAAGAATTTTATACAAAGGTATTAGTTGCAGACGATTAATAACATTCCATGAGTCTAAATTCTTAGGAATAGCATTTAGGCACTGATCAATGTCATCTATATTGTTAACGCTAATATTTGAATTGCTATTGAACGAATAGAATCTTGTTGAATCCATTTGATGTTTACTCAAAAGGTTTTTCCATTCATCAAAAACCTCATAACAGTTCGTTATTTTTTGAAATCCATTAATAGTAATTTTTGCAAGGCTTTCTTGCTCAACATATGAAAATCCGTTTAACCTAGTCAATCTTTCACCCATAATGAAATTTAAACAAAAAATCTGTCCATATTCTTTAAAGATTTTCTCTAATTCATCATATGGGTTTTCTTCTTTTAATGCTTTTATAATCACGGCTTCAAGCTCCGTGGAAGGTTTAATCCTGTCCTTAATTATGGTCAATAAGATTTGTTCATATATTACATCGCATTGAATGTAATTTACGGGCGAAGTGTCAATAATAGAGTTCACAAATGGGATACCATCCAATATGTTCTGAGAATTATTAAATATATCAATGTAATTTGTTTTATAAAACAAATCTTTTTGTGTTGCTATGTATGAAATATTCAGCATTTTAGTTGAATTAAGAAATTTAACTGAGGGTTCAGTCATTAATTCTATAGCAGGCTTAGTACTAGGAACAAGTCCAGTCGAGTTAATCACCAAGCCGTGGTCCAATTGGTATTGTTTAATCCATTTTAAAAGTTGCATATATATATTATTACTTCCTATCCAATTTTTCATACTAATCTCTTCATGATAACCTGAAATATCTGGTACCAGGCGTTTGTCAAAGTGATCTGGGCATGATTTTAATATACCTATCTCTTGTTGCTTTTTTACGTCTAGGCAAGCATATAAAGACATCAACTTTTCATAAGAAATCACTGAAATAGTTTTAAATTCGTACAATTCTTGGATATATTTGCGCTAAATGATATTTTAACAAAAATAAAAATATTGTACAAATATGCATAATAAAAGATGCTATACCTCTCTTCTTACCAACATTTCCATGTTATCAAATCGATTACCGGCTAAATCCTCAATTAAAGGCAATTTTGAGCCTGCTTCCTTGAATAAATTTTTATGACCCCAACGAAATTCATTAATTGAGCACACGATTCGTGCTTTCAATTGATTCAAAGAATCATATGAATATTCTGAAATGTTTTTTATAATTAGAGCTCCTCCAGCCAATACTTCTTCAAAAAGAAATTTTCCGTTTATGGTTTGTTGAAAAGAAGTGACAGGTTTGCTAATATAAGTAATCTTTAGAATCGGAATTAGTAGTTTAACATCATTTTCCGAAAAATTTGATTTCTTTTGAGACTTAGATGATTTATCAATTAAATTAGAAAAGGTTTTTTCGAAAAGTTCCCATGTTGTTTCAAATATTTTTGCGTCATCCTGAATCCTTTGATAAATAAATAAGTCATCAATGTATTTTTCTAAAGTCAATTTACCACCATCAATAATTGGTTGAGATAGCACAAAATTTCTATTTTCATAATAAAAACTATAATTCAATTTTAATAATTTTATAAGTGATTCTTCCGCTTCTTCCATGCTCGCGGTTATTGTGTCAAATTTTGCAATTATTTGAATCACTGATTGTAATAATTACGTACACCAACGTTAACAAAATGCAGTAAAATTACTATATCACTGCAGTGAAACATGAACACAGTGTAACGATAACTATCACTATAGCACTACGTATAAGTAATCAAAGTTTAATATAAACATTGATAACGATGACATTGAACCAAACAAACCCAGATATTCGTAATCTTTTAAAAAATACAATTAGCGAAAAAATTTCTATTCAAATTGATAACAGAACACCTGTAACTTACGAACTTAACAAAGAGTTAACACTTAAAGATGTGAGAGAACAACTGACAAACTCTGGAGAACAAACTCGCATTTATGAATATATGAACTTCATTGGCCCGTATGGAATGATTTTACGAATTAAGGAAAGCGAGGAATTATTAAAAGAAAATTTACATGATGGTTATATTTTAAAAATTGAAAAATCAATTTGTCCTAACATTAATGAAACTACACAAAGATGTAACTTAAATTACGGAATAAAAATGACGGAGGATGGGCCTGAAAATGTAGATGAAATGGCATTTAAATTTTCTCAAGATATTACTAAAAGCGTTGAGATGAGGAAATTAAATTATGCTGAATATAATAAATATGAAGGAACGTGTGAAAACAAGCACGAAAATTTCTTGCGCAAAAATTTAGTGGCAGATGCAGAAATGTCGATAGCAATACCATCAAATTTATTCGTTAGTTTTACAATTTCGCATGAACGCCATAACAATGATGTCAATAACATGGAATTTTCTTCGGAATATAAAACAATATTATTACCAAAGTACGAGATAGAAATTGATATTAAGGAAGTCGAACCAACTGAAACATTTATACATGCAGTGAATTCTGCATTGGAAAACGTTAATCCTGTAAATGAACTCAAGAGGATATGTGAGAAATTTGGAGAATACATTGCTAGTAAAGTTAAAATCGGTGGAAGAATGAATAAAATTGTATATCATAATGCTTCAAGCACAACACGGCAGATTTCAACAAAACGGCATGCGGGTATAAATTTTAAGTCAGAACTTATTGGTAGTGTTAAAGGTAGTCATAATAATGAAAATAGCCAAAAAGAATCTTTATCAACATCAAATATTAGAACTCATCGTCGTGTTTATGGAGGAAACACAAATATATTTGATGAAGACAATATAACGTTATGGCAAGATTCTTTAAATGATTATACAACCTGGCAAGTTATTGAATATATTGATCTAATTCCAATATTCGATGTTTTAACACCAACACTTCGTCAAAAAGTTCTTGAAACAATGGGACAAAAACTTCTTTATAGTAAAATCGATTCAGTTGATGGAATTGTTATGTCATCGTCTAAATTTTCATATGAGCACCAATTAAAAATACCACTCAATCTAAAAATAAATCTAAAAGAAAGCAAAATTTTTGCATCTGTTATGAATAAAGACAAGAGGGCGGAAGTATTTTCTACTCGTATTGTCGTATATACATTAAATAATTCTGCTAGCGTAGTTCTTCATTGGATCCATAAAACATCTAGGAGACACAAAGATAAGGTTTTTAATTTGCAAATCGCCTGGGTTATTGTTGGCCAAACAATAGATTTCAAATATGACAATTGCAATTTTCACATTATCAACAGCATTGAAGAGTTTGCTCCAAATAGTACAAATAATAACCACCAAATTAGTATCTGCGATGAATTTGAAAAAAGTCATAGTATTTTGGCAACATGCACACAACTAGCACCACAGCAAGATATAATTCATCCAAAAGCTTCAACATTGGTGACAGGTGTTCATTTTTGTTGTGTTGAGTCTCAATTAAAAGCCTGTTTTTTTATGTACGACCTTGTAACGGAAGCATTGCATAGAACAAATTTTGAGGGAAAATTAAATAATCTTTTTATTCATTGCAGGTATGTATTTCTTTGACACTTTATCCCTTAATATTTAATGTACAGTATATTCCTTGTTAATATTTAATTAAAATTTCAATACAAGTATTATTTCGATCGCTCAAAAGAATTATTTAAAACTGAACCGCGAACGAAATTTTATGAATTTTATTAACAACAATTCTACGATTCTTTATAATGCAAGTCCACTATGGACGTGCAGCGAGCCAACATTCGTTAGCCTTTTTCATGAAACTTGTCCAGGCTGTATTGCAGGATTTGTGAACCTTGCTCCTAACTATTTAATCTTTAATTCTCCAAGTAACATCCGTGATGATCCTCAGATTTCTTATTTTTGTGCACCTCTCTTCCCAATATAATTTTTGTTTTAATTTTAATATAATTGTAAAAACTATACTATTACTATTTAATTTTATGTAATTTATTTAAAGAGTAAAGTTAATTAACACGCATGTGATATTGTCACCTATAAAAAATCATAATAATGATAAAATTTTAAAAGTTCTTTAAAGTTAGGATTAGGGTTAGGATCAAGGTCAAGTGTTAGCAGGATTATTAGTAGAGTTGCTGGTGCACCACTGATGCACCATTAAGATATCATATAAATTTAAAGCATTGCACCAGTGGCGACGCCACCTGCACCAGCAACCCCAATTATTAGTAAAATCTCGCAAAGAAAACTTTTTGTTAGAGCACCAAAGGTGGTTTCCTATGCAGATTTTTGAGTTATAGGCAAAACGAACGTTGTTTTGAATTTTTCTGATCGTGCTACGTTACACCTGATCTTGAAACCTGATTTGTTCGCGCCACAAAAAGTGATATATAAGCCACTATCACATATATGACAAATAACTTAGCACGTCCGTAATCTGTGACAGGTTAAGCCACTGACTTCAATCACCGCTTCCTAAAGCTAATCTAAATCATGATGAAAAAGCTATTGTATTTGGTAATTTGAAAATACTTATTATTACGAAATTAAAGTGAATATTGTGAACCCGGAAACGTGATATGTATAAACTGCGTATATCACGGGTAACAATTTCGACGTGTGAAACGCGGCTGGGC